CCTTACCTTTGTCATGTAAATTTTCTTGTCTTTTCATTCTCCACCAATTCTGCCATCTGGCTTCCCTATTCTTTTTCTACGTCTTCCTCTATGTCTATTCAGGTATGTGAGTTTACATGTTTTCAATATCCTGCTCCCTCTTCAATGTGTCTATCTCAGCTTCACTTTCTCTCCATGATATCTGTCTCTACCTCTCGATTTCTCTGTTCTCCTCTTATGATCCCTCCCCGAGTACCCTTGATTCCAGAAAGGCCCAGGTTTGAGCCTCAACTCTGCCCTATTTCACACAGTACTGAGCTCCACAAGTTGCTTTTCCCTTCTCTGGGCCTCAGTACTGTCATCTGTAAAGAGGGGTGGTCACATTTCCTTCCCTCAGCTCTGACAGGATGAGATGATAACAATTCCAGACTGGCACCATGCATTTGGTTCATGGCTCTAACACTCACCACACAGTGGTTGAGCTGGGCATGATAGTGCATGCCTGTAATCCCAGCACTTGGGAGGCTGAGGCAGGAGGACTGCCACAAGTTCAAGGCCAGCCTGGTCTACATAGGTCCATAGTGAGCTCAAGGCCAACATCTACTATGTAGTGAGACCCAGTCTTAAAAACAATAATAAAAACTCAATGGTGAGTCCAAGTATGCCTTCTTAATGCCCTCCTAGTTAAAGTACAAGTCACAAAATGCTTCCTGAACCACTCCCCTCTTCCCCAAAAAGGCAACTCAGTTTTCCCAGGATCCTTTGCCTCAGTTCAGTCCCTGCCTGAGGAAGGAGCCTGGGCTTCATGACCTTTCACCAGACCTTACCCACAACACCCACACGGATGTGAGTGCGCACTTCACCCAAGCGGCAATAGTTCCCCAGAACCCTCATGAGGTTTTCAGCTCCAAAGCAGGATTTGCTTTTCAGCAGTGACTCAGGGGCTTGCTCCACTGGCACACTGCACCGATTCTGGAAAATGAGAATGATATTAGAGAAGAGGCATCAGGTGCGAGATGTGTTCTGAACCTAGATTTCCAACTTGCAGCAAAACATTCAGGACCTCACTGCGATCATTGAGCTCCTCAGCCTGAAATGGAGAGCTTCTCTTCACAGGCTCTGAATACCTGCTACTTCCCTACTCTCTTCCACTATCTTTATGTCTCCAGTCTCCTCTGCCCCTGCCTCTGCTGTCACACATGGCCTCTTGCCTCCCATGAAGGGACAAGATGGCATCTTGGCTCTATACAGGCCAGGTTTGAATTCTAACTGTACCTCTCACACGCCTATGGTCGGAAAAGTGTGCCTTCCTTCCCCAGGCCTCAGTGCCTTCATGTACAAACAGGGATACCTGCCCTCCCTGCCTACTTTCCCCTGGCTCCTCACACAGAACAAGGCCATCCTGGCCTCCATCTCTTTATTCCTGAAACCATCTCCTCTTCCCAGAATACCCTTCCTCTTCCCTCACTCACATCGTTTTTAATGCCACAAAGTTGGAATTAATATCAATCAATAAGAAACAGGTTCAAAAGGTATATCAAGATGAAATACAAATGGAATACAACTGTTCAGAAAGAATGTTTATGACATCTTTGCCACCAAAATGGCAAAATTTAAAAAAAATTAGCTGGGATGTATGCTTGTGTAACATGCATGAGGCCCTGGGTTTGATCTCCAGCACAGTGCAGCAGAGCACCACACAGCACAAGGAAAAAAAAGCCGGAATAGTAAATGAGACAGCATGTTTCTGAAAGACTTGAAAGTTCAATACTATGTGAATAAATTCAATACAGATTAACCTTGTTTACATGGAGACTTGTTTAGAAAATGTTGATTTGTGAGAGAATCAATCACATGCCACTGGGAATAAAAATAGACGTTTTTACAAAAGGCGCACAGTTTAATGTTATCCAGTGTTGGTAAGGATGCAAAGAGGCCCTCTCATATACCTCACTAATGAGAGGATATGCAGAAGGGCAATTTGTGAGTATCTAGGAAAATGTACAATGAATAAAGCTTATGTCTGAGCCAGTCACTCTACCTTTCAGTACCTAACCCATACCAACACTTGCTCACCTGCCGCACAGACACATGCAAGCATGCTTTGCAGAAGCAGTGATTATAAAAAAGAAAAACTGGGAACAAGAGGCTGGAGACACAGCTCAAGACAAAGAGCTTGCCTAGCATGCACAAACCCCTGGGGTCCATCCTCAAAAGTGTGAAAAATATGAGTGTGGTAGCACATGCCTGTAATACCAGCACTCAGGAGGCTGAGGCAGGAGGATTGCCACAAGTTCAAGGTTAGCCTACAATACATAGTGAGTTCAAAGCTAGCATGAACTACAGTGAGACCCGTCTCAACCAAAAAAAATGTGAAAAGCAATAACTTTCAACAAATGGTACAAAATAAAAAAAACTGTTCCCAGTACCCAATTTCTCTCCCTAGAAGTAGCAAATGTTTCTGTAACTTTTAACATTTTATAATGAAAATGTATCACTATATTAATGATACCCTTAAGTGGTATGGCTTGTTTGTTTTGTTTTTTGGGTTTTTTTGAGACAAGGTCTTGCTTTGTAGTTCAGCCTGGCCTTCAGTTTACTATGGAGCACAGGCTGGCCTGGAACTCGTAGTGACTCTGCCTCAGCCTCCCAAGTGCTGGTAGGCGTGTGCCACTATGCCCAGCTAGTATGGCTTGTTTTAAAGAGAAAAATGAAGATCTATATAATTTTTGAAATTTGAAGTCACACTAAAATTACAAAGTCACCCAGAAAGTAAAAAGCTCAAAGTTAAAGACCAACTTCAACTAAAGGGCTGGAAAGGTCTGGTCCAAGTTATAATTCCACCACCACCACCATGGCTTCTAGCTATCCTCAAAGAGGGTAGAGGCCTCTTATCTTACTCTTACCAAGTTCTTGACCTGATGCTGGGTGCTAGCCTTGAAAGCCACGGCTGGCAGCTCATTGCGAAGGTAATCTAGCCATTTCTCCACAACCTCCTTGGGAACCAGGTCTGGGAAGAATAGGAACAAATAGGTCTGGTAAAGAGAACCTCACCTCCACGTCTCTCTCCAAAGATTTCTCTGGCCACACTCAAGGCTAGGCCCATATGCTGCCAACAAGTCTCTCCACTGGCCCTAGCAGTCTCTGTTCAGTCCCTAGGTTGGGGTCACAAGGACAGTCTGGTCTACAGGGCCAGTTGGCCCCCCCAAGGGGGCCTATTCCCTCAGAGAAAATGTACAAACTACCTGTTTGGTCCCAAACATCATCCTGCCAAGTCAGGAGCCAGACGTCTCCCCAAGATTATATTTTCCATTCCTTCTCTAGATCATTCTATGCTGAGCCAAATGTCAAAAATAACTGTCACAAGAATGGCTATCATTTCTGAAATACTGACCACATACCAAGTACTTTACCATTAATTCTCACAAACCTTTGAGGTTGGGACATCTATGGCCCATTTTACAGTTAAGAGAAAAACAAGAGCTCTCAGAAGTGACATGACTTGTCCAGTATCTCAGAGAGAATAGCTCACGTGGGCTCAGAGTCAGACCTGAGTGACCCCTGAGTCCACATGCTCCTCTGCCCCATACCCTGAGTTCCGGCCTGGGGGGTAGAGGAACTCTCCACGGCTATCTAGTTACAGAAACTGATCAAAATGGCAAGAACAGGGGATTGAAAGGTAGACAGCTTGGACTCCACTCCCACGTCAGGCTACACTCTGAGTATGTCCTCAGATAATATTCCTGGCTTTGAGAACTGGAACAAGAATTACTACCTTGCACGCCTGTTATGAGTACCACTGAGTTGCTGGGTCTCAGAATCAGGTACAAACTAGTCTTTCAAGAAGGCCCACCAGACATGGTGGTGCATGCCTATAATCCTAGCACTCAGGAGGCTGAGGCAGGAAAACTGCTTCAGGTTCAAGGCCAGCCTGGGCTACATAGTTCAAGGTGGCCCATTCCCCTGCCTTACTCAATTCTGTGCAACACCTACCAATTTTGTTCAAAACCAGGACCAGCTTCTTGTTGCCTTCTGCTTGCAGAACAGCTTCTTCCATTTGGAAACAGCGGCAGCCCAATGGGTCTCTCGCATCCAGGACTTCCAGAATCACATCAGAGTACTCCACCACCTGCAGGGTGGAGGACAAGGGAATGAGAACAAGGAACAGACCAGGTAACAGTTAAGCAGATTAGTAAAGAAAAAAGTCTACAGCTCAGGGAAAAAAAGAAATAGAGCAAAACAAAATAAAACAAAACAAAACAAGGCTGGGCATGATGGGGTGCACCTCTGCAATCCCAGCTGTAATGCCAGCACTTGAGGCTGAGGCAGGAGGACTGCTGCAAGTTCAAGACTAGCCTAAACTACATAGTGAGTCCCTGGCTCAAAAAACCAAAACAAGAAATAGGAAATAAAAATGGACTAGGGCCCTACTCAAAGGGCCTTAAGAAATGAATGAACCCATGCCTGGCATAGTGGCACACACCTGTACTCCCAGCACTTAGGAGGCTGAGGCAGGAGGATTGCCCCAGGCTCAAGGCCAACCTGAACTACACAGCAAGACCCTGTGTAAAAAACAAAACAAAACAAAACAAATGAATCCCTGTACCTTGCGAAACTCTCTGTAATAAGCCTTCCTTGTGGCCTCGTCATCCAACTGAGGAAACATATTTAATTCCTGCAAAACTTCCTCCTAAAAGAAAAAAAAAAGAACAATCCAGAGGGAAAAGGGAGGTGAGAAAGCGTGCCAGGGCTTTGGAAAGCACATAAAACTGGGGAAGCCACATGAGTCTCAGCCCACCTAAAATTAACTTTGCCCAATCAACAGAGCTGGGCACTGGAATGAAGGGGATAAACCCACACGGTACGTATGTATGCCTATGTGGGTGTGTGCTGACACTCCAGCCAGAGCCCTGAGTGTGCACAGGGCTGTGTAAAGAAGGGATGGGAGAGGGTTGGGACATCTATGGGGGACATGGAATGGGGGGAGGCGAATCTGTAACCGTATGTCAAAGAAGAAAATATGAGTTCACAAGTGTATATACTGTGTGTGAGACAAGCAAAGCCATAAAGGCAGCAACAAGGCCCAGAAGGAAGATGAAATACCCCACATATGCTCCCCTGTCTCACTCCTCCCTTCATACCCTCGTTCTCCCTCCCCTACTCACACCTCTCCCCACCAGACACCTACCCTCACCACTCCCAGTCTTTAAGTTCAAACGTGGGAGAGAAGCCCCCTCCAGAGATGTCCAGCCACAGTAATGCTGAAAAATACCCTTATTCCCTCTCAGCCTCCCCGTTCTGTTGCCACTATTTTCTTTCTTTCTTTCTTCTTTCTTTCTTTCTATACTCATTCCTTTCTTCCCTCCAACAATTTCACATCTCTCCTTACCTCTTCTCAGAGCATTGGCAAACCCACACCAATCCTGCTGAGGAGCAAGGGTTACCCTTTTACCTTGCGTTCAAACTCCTCCTGACGTCTCAGGACATCCTGACAGTAGTTCTCAATGGTCCTGTGTTTGTATTTCTCTTGCTCCCGGGCAGCTTGCTGCTTCTCCCTCATCTCCTCAACCTAACAAGTAAACAGAGACTGAGAATGTAGCTGACTGGGTCTACAGCCCAAGAGACCAACAGGTGACAGACAGAAGAAATGGTGTGACATGGGAGAGTTGGGAGGAACAGGAGTACAAGGAGAGGATAAAGAGGACAGTATAGAGTGAGAGGAAGAAAAAGAGAGATGAAGGGACAGCAGGGTAGCGGAGAAAAATAAGCAGGGAGAATGCATTCTAGGGGGAAGGAACCTCTTAAGACCACAGGGAAACAGAACAAGATCCTAGGATATGTCATCATTTAAAAAGCAAAAAAAAAAAAAAAAAAAAAAAAAAAAAAAATGAAAATCAAGAACAAGCGAAGTGTGGTGGTATGCACCTATAATACCGGCACTTGGGAGGTTGAGGCAAAAGAATTACTTGACCCCAGGACTTCAAAACCAGCCTGGTAGTCGGGCATGGTGGCACATGCCTATAATCCCAGCACTTGGGAGGCTGAGGCAGGAAGACAGACACAAGTTCAAGGCTAGTCTAGGCTCCATATCCAGTGCAAAGCCAGCCTGAACTACATAGCAAGACCCCATATTAAAAAAAAAAAAAGCGGAGGCCGGAGTAGAAATGGGAAAAAGTTGTTCATAAAGGAAGGGGATACTAGGAAAACGAGATGACAAAGTCAAAATCAGAGTGCTTCAAGGAAAGCATGGCCTGAAATGCTGAAAATCCTGCTAAGATGAAGGAAGAAACTATCCACAGATTCCATTCAGATAAGGGAAGAAAACTATCCACGCAAGGGCCGGCACTGGTGAGAGCAGCGGGGGCGGTTTCCGTGGAGCAGTGGGAACATCAGCCAGGTGGCAGTGCACTGGGAGGGGAGCGGGAGGTCAGCAGACAGACACACTAAATTCAGCATCAAGGTAACCTCCCTCACTTCCCTCACCCAGAGTTTCAAGAATCCTCACAACTCTGGTCTCTGCCCTTCCATCCAACAGTTCTACAGACTGGGCATTTAAGGCAGGGCCTTTCTCTCAGTCAATGTAAAGAACTCACCCTCTTCTTCTTTAATGCCACCTCGCGGCTGGCATGATCATTGCAGTGAACAGAACGGGAAGTGGAGGACACTCTGGAGGTTGCTTTCTTCCCATTTTGCTTTGCAGGCTGTTCACCGACAAGAAAAATAAATAAATAAAGCTAATGAACCCATGGAAACCATCCAATCCCTGGACAGGTAGGACCTCAAGGTGTTCAGAGGAGGGTAATTGTGAGGGGAAAAGAATAGGCAAGAAAAGGCTCTGTCCTCTATAGAGATCTCCCCTAACCAGAGAGGGGCTGACTGAAGAACTCCAGGGAAGTGGTAGGGGCAGGGATTCCCAGGAAGGTTTGGCAAGGCCAAAGGAAAAGCCTTCTAGACAAGTAATTCCCAAAACGTGGTCCTTAGACCAGCAGCAGCACCACCTAGGAACCTGTGAGAAATATAAACTATCTATGGTTTCTCTTATGTGATAAACCCAATATATAAATAAAGTACAAAATAAAATAGGAAAAAAAGAGAAAAAAAGTTAACATAATCCAGCATGGACAATGCATCTAAAAGTGTACCTTGGTTTAGTATAATTGTCTTATGTGTTTTATGTTTTGTTGACCTGTTAGTCTGGCTGTTAATCTGTAGGTGTAATTAACTTTATAAGGACTTTTAAAATAAACAAATAAAATCATGCTGGCAAAAAACACGTTTTTTTAAAAAACAGGGGTGCTCTATCAACTTATGAAAAAGGCCCAAAAGACAGATACCCGTATTTTAACCTGGGAACCTGATTCCCAAACGGCATTCCAGAAGCTTAAACAAGCTCTCCTAAATGCCCCAGCCCTAAGCCTCCCCACAGGACACCATTTCAATTTATATGTCAGTGAGAGGTAAGGTATGGCTTTAGGAGTACTTACACAGGATCAGGGACCCACTCAACAGCCTGTAGGGTATCTGAGTCATGAACTAGACATTGTAGTAAGGGGATGGCCTTCTTGCCTTAGAGCTATGGCAACTGTAGCTCTCTTAGTGCCAGAGGCATCCAAGCTAACTTTAGGTAAAGATCTCACTGTATATACTCCTCACAATGTGGCAGGCCTTCTTTCGTCCAAAGTGAGCCTCTGGCTATCAGACAGCCGACTTCTTAAATACCAGGCTCTACTTCTACAAGGACCAGCCATTCAAATAAAGACATGCTCCTCCTTAAACCCTACTACTTTTGCCAGAAAAGGAGGAAATTGAGGTTGACAGAGATGATTGTGAACAGGTAATTTTCCAAACATATGCAGCTAGAGAAGACATATTAGACACACCCCTTACTAACCCTGATTTGACCTTTTCTGTGATGGCAGCTCCTTCATGGAAAATGGGACAAGGAAGGGAGGGTATACAGTGGTAACTTTACATCAGACTCTTTAAAAGTCCCTCAATTACACCTGGGACTAGTGCTCAGCTAGTGGACCTTATAGGTTGGAGTTTATCCTCTCTATGTGAGGCCACTACTGGCTCCTCTTGGTGGAAATCTTTGTTGACTATATTCATAATAATCCTGTTGATCTTATTATTTGGCCCATGCACACTTAACTGTTTCTTTGGCTTTGTCTCCTCCAGATTTAAAGCTATACACTACCCAAGATAAAAATGCCTGGTGTCTATCGAGGGCCATTAGACAGACCCTCTGGAGAGTATCTCTGACTGCCAATCAACAACTACAACCCCTTTTAGCCTGAAGAAGCCAGAGCAGTCATCACCCATTACCCCCTCACGGCAGTTTGGGTTACTTCTTCAGAGCGGGGAATGTTATAGGCAGCTGAGTTAAATAGAAATATTATAGGCAGTCAGACAGGGCCAGGCCTTCCAGGGAGCCAATATGAAAGACAGGGTAAGATACCTTGTGTGGGCCAGACCTCAAGACAAAAGGACTAAACAAATGCACCCACATACTTCCCTAGGTGTGAACATTAGGGATTGATGTTCTAAATAAGTAGCAACCACCTTCAAAAAGCCAGAAGGAGTCACTAGCCCAACCCCCTACAGGAAAAGCCCCTGTCCTGTATTCATGCCCCCTTGCTAAGTGACTCGCTTCCCCATTTGATCCCAGTTTACTCAATGTTACCTGAACAATTATACTTGTAATCTTACTGGCTGACCATAGTTTTGTCCCACCTCATGCCCACTTTGCAATTTCCCATGTTCCCCCTATTTTGGACCCGCCTCATATGCAGCTAGAGAAGACATATTAGACACACCCCTAATATTGATGTTCATACCCCAGGGTTTTGCGCTATAAAGTCCCTGGGAAGGGCAAGGTTCTTGGCAACCCACTCGGGCCCCCTTCTGTCCCTCTCTTGAACAGAAGCTTTCTTTCCCTTATTAAATATATTCTGCTCTTTAAAAATATATAAATAAAAATAATAAAAAAATTAAAAAGAGGGGTGGAGGGGAAGGAGAAAAAAGAATTGAGATGTGCTATGCACATGTACCAATTCCCACAATGAATGTCATCATTATGTACTACAAAAATGTATACTAGTAAAAAAAAAGCTTTGAGAAAGAAATATGAATTATCTAGCCAGGCATGATATACATGGTGTATGTCTGTAGTCCCAGCACTTGGGAGGCTGAGGCAGAAGGATGGCAGTGAGTTCAAAGCCAGCCTGGGCTACACAGTAGTGAGTTCAAGGCCAGCCTGAACTACGAAGAAACCAGCAGGCAATTCTGGAGTGTTTGTGAACTCTACCCACACTAACATTTCTGAACCCAAGGCATTTCCAGGTCATACCTTTCCCAAGAGATCTAGGAGCTTGGATCCAAGATGATATTTAAGCTTCCCTCATCTCCTTGAGAAACAGGGACTTGGAAATCAAAATGGTTTAAATCCTAGCTGTTACCTTGAACCCAGAAATTTTCTCACTGAGACTGTTTCTTCCTTTAAAACATGAAGATGGATGGGCTAGGGGTATAGTTCAGTGGTAGAGCACTTGCCTAGCATGCACCAAGGCCCTAAGTTCCACCTTCAGCACCACCAAAAGGAGGGGGTGTGATGATAATTCCTTTCAAAGTAAATGAAGCACAAAGCAATGTATGGCTTAGGGTGGGAACTTAATACACACTGCTGCCAATTCTCTCCCATAGCTACCCAGAAAGAGCAAAAAGGTCAGATATACTAATTCTGTGGTACTCAAGTCCACTCACCCATTATCTACTGACCTGATCCCCAATTCGCCAATAATGGGCATATCTCACCTGAAGGGAGGGCCAACTTACCTTCTTGCAGCCTTTGGAACCTTTACCTGACTTTTTAGTTTCTACAAAAAAAAATAAAAATAAAAGAGAAAGAAGCCATTAATCATCTGCCCAACATTTATTGATACCTTAATCAAAGTCGGGCTACACTAGGAAACTAAGAAGCCTCAGACATCATGACTGTCTAGATTCAGCACAACACAGAGATACAGAGAGCAACAAAAGTCGGACAAAGTAATGCATGTATTTTTATAGAACTATTTCAATGCAAAATCAAATAATTCTTGAGCATAGTGGCACATGCCTATAAGCCTAGCACTCTGGAGGTTAAGGCAGGAGGATTGCCACGAGTTCAAGGCCACCCAAGGCTACATCGTGAGTTCAAGGCCAGACTGAACTACATAGCAAGACCTTGTCCCAAAAAAAGAAAAAAAATCGAATAATTCGTAAGAGTATTCTGCAGAATAACCTGAATATGTGCTTGTAACCTCCCCCTAGCCCTGCCCCTACCTTCCTACCTGGGACCTCTCAACAATTTCAGTGTCAGGATGAGGTGTGGGAGCTAGCAGCGTGGGGAGGTGCCATGAGGAGTCCCAGCAGCCAAAGCCTAGATAGATCCCCTCAGCATCTACAGAAAGAACTACACCTTGTTGCCACTGCCTCCAAGAGGACTTAACCTACTTGGTTAAACTGCTGCCTCCTTTGGAGCCTAGGTGGGAAGAACAAACAGTTTTCCAATCAGGCCTTAACAAAGCCCAGAAACTTAAGAGGTCTCTCCCCATGTCCAAGAGAAGTCCCATCTGTCAGCCCCTTCATAGCTGGTCTCCTGAGGAAAAACTGGTTTCACTGAATCCTCAACACATTCAAGACTACAGAATAAATTCCCACAGAGGAATGAGATTCTGAAAGGACAAATACATTAACAGCTCAAGAATGCTACACAAAGAACCCTGACATATTGTGGGTATCACTGAAACAGGACTCTCAGTTCCTCATACGTCCATACCATACTTTTCTAATGAAAATAAGTACTTTAGCTATCAGTAGCTGGCTGTGCATCTCAGTACTTGTGCTGGAGGAATACCGGAAGCAATCTTTGTGTTTATCTACTTCACAGGACTATCGTAAAGTATATACATATGTCAAAGTGTAAACAGGTGAGTATAACCCACATTATGCACCATGTTACATTTCTCTGTATGTTTTTTATTAAATGTTCTTTTGATTTTTCTTGTAGAATTAGTCCAATTTAGTACAGTGTTGCATGAAAATCTGCTTTTACAACTTTAGGAAGAGGTCGAAAGTGAGTCATCAGGTGGCTCGGCTACCAATAATGACTTGGATCATGTAAACCAAAGAAGTTAGCAATATGTGACAGAGAAGTACAGAGTGCAGACTTTGATTCAGATGAGGAAGAAAACAGTAAATAAATATTTGACTAGTCAAAATGTTACAAAATGGTTGTGTATCTCAGAACCATGCAATGTTAGAACTAAGTCAAAAGATATTATTTGGTCCTTACCAGGGGTCAAACCTATTGAGAAGAAAGCAAACACTGCAATTCAATGTTGGAAATTGTTTATAAAGGACGATATGCCATAAGATATTTTGAAATACACTAACAATGAAATATAAGAAAACATTCTATATACACCAATGTGATACTCAAAAATATATCATGATACCTCATTATCTGAACTAAAAGCCTTCATAGCAGGGCTACATCATTCCAATCACTGGAATCTAAAGGATTTATAGAGAAGTGACAGATGTGGCTTTGAGATTTTTAGAACAAAAATAGTAACACTCAAAAGAGACTTGGTTTCCTTCAAAATTGTTTACATTTCGAAAACAAAAAGACTCACCTAGAATGAAAAAAAATCTGACAATTTGGTTGCTATTTACTCATTTGTTGAAGATTTGTTTCAAACTGTCAAACAATTTATACACCATCCAGACACATAACAATTGACAAACAATTTGCATCATTTTGTGGTTGTTGAAGCTTTCAGCAATATATGTCAAGTAAACCTTCCAAGTATGGAATAAAAATATATGCCCTGGTAAATATGAAGACTTTCCAACCTTGAATTTAGGAATTTATCCTGGAACTCAGCCACCAGGTCATTCTTCCTGCCGTAATAAACCATATGACTTTGTGAACACACTTGTTGCACCTATTTCAAAAAGTAAACCAAATGTCCTACTCAAGAGCTGATTCACTAGTTAACCATTGATGTTACATTTGCTAAAAAAACACGAGTTAAATAGCACAAGCACTATTCACACAAAGCTGAGATTCCTGAAAATGTTGCAAGTTCACAATAGAGAAATGTACAGTACAATCTTTGGATTTCAGGCTGGTCTTGAACTCACTAACCTAGGCTGGCCTCAAACTTGCAGCAATCCTCCTTCCTCTGCCTCCCAAGTGCTGGGATTGCAGGAATGTGCCACCACACTGGGCCTAGCTTATTAACTATATTGAAAAACCTTATCATGTTTTAAAGTAGACTTAATTGGACTTCCAGGAAGATGGAGAAGTAAACGGCAAAGAAATAGCCCCACTGAGATGTGGTGTTCATATGCTGGAATATAAGCAATGTAAGGAAGAGAAGGAGGGAAATGGGCTCCCAGGACCCCAGAAGGATCTGAAGTGCGAACTGAAGTCCATGAAGGAGCAAAGAGGGAGGCTTTAATGCAGAAAACAGAAGCGGCAAGCGGTGCTTTCTCCCTGACTTCTGACTCACTGCGTGGGAAGGGTGGCTTGACCCTGCAGATACACAGTGACTACTGGCGACCCCAGAGGCCTCCATGGAGAAACGCACCAGTGGAATGTAGCAGTGGATGAAGCAGACTGCAGTAGCTGGTAAGTTATTCGGGTTCAAATGCCCGCCAAGGCAGGGTGATTGGCTGGTAGCCATCTTGGAGAGAGGTCAACTGAACTTGTTGGGACTCAGAGCAGCTGTGGGCTGGCTCCATCTACAGGTTCACAGTGTCACAGTGCAGCAGGAAGTCAAAGAGCTGAGGTCAAGCCGGCAGGAGGTACAGTGTTGTAGGCTGAAAAAATCAGGTCTCAGTATCACAACCAGAAACCAGTGAGAACTTCATCAGAAATAAAGGTACAGGATTGTTGGGATTAATCAATATGGATCTGGGCTCTGAATGCCCACTCACCTGTCTACCAGTGATAGCAGACATGCCCTCAAGGGGACATTTTAAATTTTTTCCTCCTTTTTTTTCCTTTTTTTTGTTTTCATTTTCTTTTTTCTTGATTGTTCTTTTTTTTCTGTGAACACTGTCTCTAGGTTTTTGTGGATGTTCTGTACTGTTCTCCAGTTTATTTCTTCCTTCTCTCTTTCCTTCCTGTTTTCTCCATTTTCCCAAAGTTCACGTAAACTTCGTCTTCCACCTTTGCTTCTAGTCTCTACATCTTTTATTTCTCTACTTTTTTCCCCAACCCCTTTTAAATATTCTCCCGTGAGGATAAAATCACCACATTGAGGGCATACTTACGGTATACAATTTTATGGTTCATTTTCTTTTATTTTTTTAAAGAGAAAAAAATAAAATAACAACAATGAAAACAAAAACAAAACAATACAAAAACAATAAAAATGATACAGGACTTTAAAGTAAGATGATAGGAATTAACAATGGTTGTTACATTACATACTGTTATTTTCAATGAAGTTGCTCATATTAACAGATGTAACAATGCAAGATTGTTATACAAAAAAAAAGATTGATCATACAGTTAAAGTCAACGCAAATAAAAAAATTAGAAATGAAACAGAATGTCATTAAACAAGATGGTAGGAATTCAACAATGCTTGTTATATTGCACACTGTTGTCTTCAAATTAGTTGTTCTGATTACCAGATATAAGGATGCAAGACTGGTCAAGAAAAAAAATTTAAGCATTAATTGTTGCTTTCTATAAACCAATAGACACCAGCAATTCACTCATCCTAGCTATCTTGTGTATACATATATATATCATCTTGTTTTGAAATCCTGTATCATTTTTATTGTTTTTGCATTGTACTGTTCTTGTCTTGTTATATTTTATTTTCTCCTTTTTAAAAAAATAAAATGAACATATATATATATACACATATATTCTTTTTTTAGTTTAAAAGAGAAAATAAACACAAAATAAAAAGGCATAAACAGAACAACATAAAAACAATAAAAATGACACAGAATCTCCAAAAAAGTAATAGGCAATCAACAATGGTTGTTATATTACATACTGTCATCTCAAAGTGGATACTCAGATAACCAGATATAGGCATGTAACATTGATCAAACAATTACAGATTAACAGTGCCTTTCATTAAACCAATAAAAATTAGTAGTACAATTCTCTTACCTATTGTGCATATATGTATTTTTTTGCTTCCCTCTTTTTCTATTTTCTCTCACCCCAGTAGTTCTTTCCTATTTCAGCAGTTTCTTTCCCCTTCACAGTATCTGTTGTACTTTTCAGATTTTATTTATTCATTCAAGTTCTTATACAAGGGAGGCAATATGACGTTTAAAATTGTGAGTCTGGCCAGCTACGGTGGCATAGCCCTGTAATCCCAGCACTCAGGAGGCTGAGGCAGGAGGATCATTCCAAGTTTGAGACCAGCCTGGGCTACAAAGTGAGCTCAAGGCCAGCTTGAACTGCATAGCGAGACCCTGTCTCAAAAAGACAAATAAATAAATAAATAAAATAAAATTATGAGTCTGATATAGTTCACTTACAAATATGGTCTCTAAGGTCCTGAGTTCGATTCCCAGTACCAAAAAAAAAAACCACGAATATGGTCTCTAGTTGCACCTGTTTACTTATAAGCCTCTATTTTATCTTTCTTTATAGCTGAGTAATACTCCATAGTATAAAAATACATCTTTCTTATCCATTCCTTAGTTCATGGGCTGTTCCCAAGATTCAGCTATTACAAATTGTATTGCTATAAACATGAGTGCACATATATTGCTATGGTATGATGTTTTCAGTTCTTTAGGAAAAAAGCCCAGGAGAGAACAGCTGGGTTGAATGGGACCTCTACTCCTA